CATTTTACCCACCTCGGAAGGATGGAAGGCTGAGTCAACCTTGAGCCGGTGAGATTTGAACAGCCGAATTGCTGAACTGCAGTCAGCTGAAGTAGCCTGCAGTGCTGCATTTAACCACTGCGCCACCTCGGCTCTAAGCAGCAAAACAGAGGCTGACACCTGGTGGATGATCACTTAAATATGAGCCAGCCGTGTATGGCAGCAGCCGAGAAAGCCAATACAATCCTTAGTTGTATAAACAGAGGCACAGGATCAAAACCTAACCTAACTATAAGTTTGCCATCACAACTCTCCCGTGTCCCCATTGCCTCCGGTTGAAGGATGGCCTTACTGGTTTCCCCGAAACTCTCTTCTTCCTCTCCTTACAGCAAGGAATGCCTCGTTTGAGGTGATGCCTGCTGTGATCTACCCAGAAAGGAAACTGTGTTTTCTCCACACTTACCATTTCAAGGCAAAATGCAGCCCTTACAATTTAACCGATTAATAGATTAGCTCTCACCTGTTTTCTCAACCTGGAAACAGCAATTAGCCAGCCTGCAGGAACCGCCCCCTTCTTTCTCCAGACAGCCTGGATTTCACTCCCCCAAGAAGCCTCCTCAACCTCCTGCCGGCGCGAATAGTAAACTAAAAAGCCCCCCCCCCGCTCCATAGACCCCCCCCTCCAACCCATCCCTGGCAAGAAGAGGTTAAGCCAATGGACCACCCACCTAGCTTACCGAGAGTCTGCTGGTTGCGGACCCCACCAATCACCACACAAATCTCCGCAGGCACCTCGGCTACCCCGCCGCCTTTCTTCTTCGGCTCCTTTGGGTCATCCTGCCAGACCACCTCCTGGATGTAGTCATCGGGGACTTCCGTCTTCACCTTCACCGCGGCCATGGCTGCTGCGTCCTCGCTAGGCGAGGCTCGAGGCACGGCTGGGTCGCAGCCTTCTGCTTTCATGGTTTTCTGGGACCTCTTCAAGCGCTCCCTTGGGTGAGGGGAGAAACCAGGGGTGGGTTTCAAATTTTTTTAGAACCTCTTCTGTAGGTGTGGCCTGCTTTGTGGGAGTGGCTTGCCAGCCATATGACCAGGTGGGAGTGGCTTGCCAGCCATGTGATCGGGTGGGAGTGGCTTGCCGGCCATGTGACCAGGTGGGAGTGGCTTGCCGGCCATGTGACGGTGGGCGTGGCCAACTTGTAAATTGTGGCGAAACTCACTTAACAATGCTCTTGCTTAGCAACCAAAATGTTGGATCAGAAACTCTGGCATTTGAAGCACTCAAGTCTTAAAGCTGTCAAGTTACAAGACTCTCGCACCCCTAACCCTTTAGAAAAAAAAACCAAGGGTGTTCAAACTTGACAGCTTTAAGACTTGTGGACTTCAACTCCCAGAATTCCTCCTCCAGTCATGTTGGCTCAGGAACTCTGGCATTGAAGTTTGCAAGTCTTAAAGCTGTCAAGTTACAAGACTCTCGCACCCCTAACCCTTTAGAAAAAAAACCCAGGGCTGATCAAATTTGACAGCTTTAAGACTTGTGGACTTCAACTCTCAGAATTCCACCTTCAGTCATGTTTGCTCAGGAACTCTGGCATTGAAGTTCGCAAGTCTTAAAGCTGTCAAGTTACAAGACCCTTGCACCCCTAACGTTTTAGAAAAAAAAACCAGGGGTGTTCAAACTTGATAGCTTTAAGACTTGTGCACTTCAACTCCCAGAATTCCTCCTCCAGTCATGTTGGCTCAGGAACTCTGGCATTGAAGTTTGCAAGT